TAATACTTTAATAAAATCATTATTAAAAAGATCTAATAGTTCTTCAAGGTTTTTAATTATATTAATAACTTTAGTTACTATAAATGCAAATAGACAAAATTCCTTGAATTTGTTCCAGTTATTGTCTATAAAAACAACAATATTACCCTATTTTGTTGAAACTATAGTTGATTAAATAGTGAAAGTAAAGAGTGTTATTATTAAAGAGATTCTTTTAATAGAATTTAATGAAATAATCAGTAATAAGTAAATTGTACTATATATATATCTATATAGAGCTTATAACCTATTGAAAATATAACTATATAGTATTATTGTATATACTCTATATTACAGTTATATTGATAAGCTAGCTAGTGTATACGCTAAGGCTAGCGTCAGTACTAGCGAGGGCACAATGCTAGGGTACGGCACGTGGTACAGGGTATAGTAGTACGCGTTCTAATAATTTTATAGAAGCTAGCTAGATAAAACTATGTATATAAAGCTCTTCTAGGCCGCTAGCAATATTTCATATTAACTTCTTTGAAAACAAATAACTAAAAGCTTTGAAAGAGTTTAAGTTTAAAGAGAAGCTGATTGAGAGTAAAAGATATTGATATTTACCGACTCGGAACTCAGATTCATTATTCTCTACTAGCTTCTTCAAGAAAATGAAAGATTCAGTACCGGTGACTTTATTTTTAGCAGACCTCGCTTAATAGAAAATCGTTTCTCATAGATATTAATTAAACTGTTATCTTACAATCTTGATGCTAAGTATCCAATCAGACGTTTCCGATGATGACGCAATACACGTCCGTCATCGCAGAATAGACCTCAACGTATCGTAGAACTTACCTAAAACAATCAGTAAGCCTTCCCCGCGCCTTATCTAGCGATCTACTTTCTAAATCATATCATCTGAGCGTTACAAAGCATTACAATTTGGTATTTGAGGAATAGCCCGTACCAGGTATTGTATTACAGTCCCAATCTTATAATCCAACTAAACTAAATAGTAGATATACGAATCTTTTATCTCGTCATATATCTCCTGTATCTCGCTATACAGACTATACCGTCTTTGCGAGTAGCAGAAAACTGATAATATCAGAGAACAACAGCAAGAGTTAAATTAATCCCGCATCTCCAAAATTCGAATACATAGACTGGATAGATCCCTTTCATAAGGACATTATGATTTCTAGTTCTCTGTGTCTTAGAACCTCAACTTTGATATTACACCCCCTTCATCAAGAACCCAAAAAGAATTCAAAGTCTACAATCGATAAATCATGGCTCCTTCTGCAACAGAAGCCCAATCAGCACCAGAGCTCAACCCTATCGAAGTCAACGACAAAGCAGGTGTCAAACTCCAAGAAAAGTGGGTGAAAAGCACCGGGGTTTTGGACCAGTTTGAGTCTTTCGATGTCACTCCTGTCATTGGTCGCGAGTTTCCAAATGTCAACTTGGTAGAATGGTTACAAGCTTCCAATGCCAATGAACTCTTGCGCGAGCTTGCTCTTACCAGTAAGCTACCAACCAAGTCCAACCGTATCATGAGTCAATCAAGACTAATAAAGCCTAGTATCTCAGCGTGGTGTGGTATTCTTCCGTGCACAAGATGATCTCACTCCCGAATTACAAAAGGACCTTGTCCAGCGCATTGGTCTACTTTCAGGAAAACCACCCACTTCAGGGCTTCACATCCATCCACTGCTCAATCCAGAGAGGGAGGGGTATCGCGTGACGGATCCGGAAATTAGTACCATTGACTCGGAGCTCAACAAGAAACTCTACAGCAATACGAGATTCGATCGAGCCAACGACCTACAAAATACATCTAAATGGCATTCAGATATTGCCTTTGAACCTAAGCCAGCTGACTATTCTAGCTTGAAGCTAGAGATACTGCCAAAGACAGGAGGTGACACACTGTGGGCAAGTGGGTACGAGATTTACGACCGTATCTCGGAACCGTACCAGAGGTTCCTCGAAACTTTAACAGTAACCTTCCAACAGCCTGGCTTTATCGAAGCTGCTAAGAATGGTGGGTTCGAGCTATATGATAAGCCTAGAGGAGCACCAGAAAATGTGGGAAGGGAGTTAAAAGCCGTGCATCCAGTAGTGAGGACTAACCCAGTCTCTGGATGGAAGTCGCTTTTCCCAGTCGGAGGTCATGTCAGCCACATTAATGATATTACTTCATTGGAAGGTAAAGCATTGTTGGAATGGTTCAAGCGATTGTTGCTAGACAATCATGATTTGCAGGTGCGGTTCAAATGGAAGAACCAGAATGACCTTGGTAAGTTCCTGCAGCAACCAAGAGGTTATTCGTGCTAACATTGACACAAACAGCTATCTGGGATAATCGCTCGACTTTTCATACAGCCACAGATGATCTCGATGGACAGGGTGAAAGATATGGTGTCAGAGCCGTGAGCGTTGGAGAAAAGCCGTTCTTAGATCATGAGAGCAAGTCCAGACGAGAAGCTCTAGGTATTTAATATATATAGTTGCAGAATAACACAATGACCAAATGAAATGACTGGCAAAGTTACGATTTATACTGTAACTTGTAATTTGACAGAATATATAATGTTTTATTGTGCTGCCCGTTTGTGGTCGCGTCTTGGCACACATAAGGATCGGTGAATGAGTCATTTTTTTGTCTAATTGACATAGTTCGTAGATGTATATAAGCATCAGTATTGTAGTTTGCGAGCAGCATTGACCATGACCATGTTTCCATTCACGTGATCCGCATTTGGGAGCTACGGTTGTCTCCACCACAAACTTTACCACAACAACATATTTTTGATTCGATATATTCACAGAGAATTCAAGAACGGAGGAAGTGAATGCTGGCGAAAGGCAGCGAGATCCAAGCCACTGGTAGCATATTGTTCGCCACTTACTTCACGATAAGAGACTTCATGCATTCATCCAAGTTCTTTTTAGATTTTCTGAAAATTGAATTTGATCGCGAAATAATTACGAAAGTCCGGGGACAGATGACAACATATGTTTTGCAGGCATTGCATGCCGTACGTGCACCCGCCCACTGACCCGTTACAGTGGTTCTTAGACTTTGCAAGCTCTTCTGATGCAGATGGGCCATCACTATCATGTACTCCGCATCTAATAAGTACTGATAAGGAATTCGTGCTTTCGACCAATGTGAGCAGTCGAAAGGTTAACTATGGGACGGGTTGTTGATGGCGACAAGTGCGCTAGAGATCCCCTCATCGAAATAGCGAAAATGAAATCCTTTCTCGAAGGGCATCTACGACTACTTTGGAACATGCTCCGAAATCTAACTCCTTTGTTGGTAGCGCCCATACTTCTCTACATCTACGCAGTATGCGAATACTGCCAGATTAATTATTACATGGGCTTAATTCATGCGCCATTCGAAAGCACGCCATGGGGTTATCTGGTGTCAAGATATGGAAACTCTGTGGGGTTTAACCACTATCTTTTCCTAAGAGGATAGTCTAGCGGCCTAGAGATCAATATCGACCCGAGAATATGGATAATACAAATACAGTTCTACTGTATCGTCTTGGCCACGCAGCTTTAGCTGCGACAATACTCCGAGATACCTCTACGGATTGTGTGATTTCCTGTGGACCTCTCTCAATATGTGTCCACCCTCGGCGGTCCCGCGTACTTGCAACATCCCTTTGCCTTTCCCACCAATCATAATAAGGTGATATCGCAATATTAGCATGTCTCTATACAACTACATTGTTTATATATCCAGCTTTTTACGTCTCGATATCGACCAGGAGACAGCAGGCTCACCTCTATTCCAACATGTCTAATATTGCCAAAGACAAGTCGGAACCCGAGAGTATTACCTCGCAAAAATCAGATGAATCACTTCAGTACGAGGAGGTTACAACTTTTGGCGACCCTGTTCCGGCAAACAAGGCAACCTTTGTATCTAACACCTCCGACTCGGATGAAGATGGATCAGCCTTTGTCAAAAATCCTTTCCTAGACCCCGATGTAACAGAGTACTGGACTACAGTCTATGAAAAGTCACAATACGAATGTCGACATGTTTTTGAACCGACGCTCACTTGGACCGAAGAAGAAGAGCGGCGACTAGTTCGAAGGTTGGATTGGCGGGTTTGTCTATGGGCTGTAAGTTTGAGACTCCGTAATCTTTTTAAATCATCATTAACATCAACCTAGTGCGTCATGTTCTTCGGTCTACAGGTCGACCGTGGAAATCTGGTACAAGCTGTCGCGGATAATTTGTTGGATGACCTAAACTTAAGTACGGATGGTATGTTGATCATAATTTTCCCTTTGGTGAGAAAGTACCCGGCGCTGATGTTTGATAGAATACAATTTTGGCAACACCATTTTTTACTTCTCGTTCCTACTGGCCGAATTACCTTCACAATTGGTCTCGAAAAAGATTGGTCCCGATAGATGGATTCCAATGCAGATAACTCTCTGGTCGATAGTTGCAATGTCTCAATGTGCGATTCAAGGGAAATCTGGGTTTTATGCCACACGAAGTCTTCTGGGTCTGTTAGAGGTATGTTTTATCGTTAATTGAAGCTGCTTTTAAACTCACCAATGATTAGGGCGGGTTCATCCCAGATATCGTATTGTGGTTATCATACTTCTATACATCTAGAGAACTTCCTGTTCGACTCAGCTTCTTTTGGACTGCGCTTTCTGGGACTACAATCATTACATCAATCCTTGCCTTTGCTTTGCTCCATCTCAGAGGTGTATCAGGTTGGGCAGGATGGCGTTGGCTTTTCCTGATCGAGGGTTTGATTACTTTCACGGTTGGCGTTTCTTCATTCTTTATGATGCCAGCATCTGCAGTACAAACAAAAGCGTGGTATCGACCCAAAGGTTGGTTTACTGATCGTGAGGTATCAATCGTTGTCAACCGAGTTCTTCGAGATGACCCCTCAAAGGGCGATATGCATAATCGACAAGCTATCACACCAAAGCGACTTTGGAATGCAGCAAAGGATTACGATCTCTGGCCTTTATACGCCATCGGCTTGATCGCATTCATCCCTCAAACACCGCCTTCTGCTTATATTACCCTTACTTTAAAAAACTTGGGTTTCAGTACATTCAACACCAATTTATTGACAATTCCCTATTCGGCCTTTCACATTATGACGCTACTCCTCATCACCCAATTCTCCGAACGCATCAACGAAAGAACTCTTGTCTCTATGATACAACCACTATGGACCCTTCCCTGTATCATCGCCCTTCGCTTCTGGCCCGGCTCAGGAGTCCAAGCTTGGAATACATATGCGCTCGTCACCGTTCTTCTCTCTTATCCCTACTGTCACGCGATTCTCGTCGGCTGGATATCCAAAAACTCTAACAACGTCGGCACCCGATCCGTGTCTTCTGCTCTATACAACATGACGGTGCAACTCGGAAACATCTGCGCAAATTTCATCTACAGAACTGACGACAAACCTCTTTATCATCGCGGAAATACCCAATTGATTATTATTAATATTGCAGCCGTGGCGGTCTTCTTACTCACGAAAGTCTATTATGTGATGCGCAATAAACAGAGGGATAAAGTGTGGAATGCGTTGTCGCCAGAGCAACAGCAGGATTATAGGAAAAATAATAAGCTGACGGGGAGTCAGAGGTTGGACTTTAGGTTTGCGCATTAGATTTTAGATGTTCTGGTTTGCTTGGGGGGGACTTTTTATATAAATACTAGTCTGTGGGAGATAATTAATTTGTTACACTATCTGTATTGAAGCTAGGTTATATGCTGATGAAATGTTCGCCGGCCATTACTGAGTTACTACTCGAGTAGTGCAACAATGGTTTCCTCTCATGAGTCATCATGCTCGTATAACTAACCCAACTCATTAGAGTCAGTTTGTATACCAAATCTGTGCCACGACTAGGGGCGTCTAGCGGTCTAGATCAGGGTCTAAATCTCGAGTACTGAGTTGAGTTGAGTGTCTGTTTTCAGAATGGTAGCATGGATAAGAGGCACGAAGAGAGAACAGAGAATAGATATGACTTGCAAGTTGTAAGTTGCGAGTTACAAGTGCATGTTATAAGAAAGAGAAAGAAGTGGAGGATGGATGGATGGGTGGATGACTTTACGCTGCATAAGCATAAGTACACTACTTTCTGAATTTCAAGATGCTGGGATGGCCTGGGTTGGATTCCGGTTAGATACGAATCTTTTGGAAACTCTATAGATGGAAGGATACTCAAATCTTTCTTGAGGAACGAAAGCAAGATTCGCGTAAGAAGAAGGAAATAATCTGATAATATTCTTGAGAGAGAAGACCTGAACCGAGTTGCCGAAAGTTTTTTTCTTCTAAAAAAAAGAGAAGTGTCAACGTATGGGTCGTGATTTTCTGGCAGTTTGAAGGGTAGTATGGTAGGTGCTAATATGTTAAGGCTAAAATCTCACTTCTCTACAATTTCGAGACGAGAGGTACAATACAAAGATACAGAGGTGCGACGGTACTTCGTTGAGTCTTTGTGTCAATTTCTTAGATTGGTTTTGAGTATGAGTAGGTAGGTATGCAGATTGAGGTTTGTATTCATCTTCATTTATTCAGAAAAACTTTGGAAAATGCTTTTGGGAAATAGAATGAAACATAGTTGGCTGAGGCAGTGAGGCTATGATATCGCTTGTGTTGTTTGGATGCCATTGGATAGGGATGGGATAGGATGTAGTTGTGTAGATGTGTAGATGTAGATGTCACATGTGTAATATCCCGGGTTTGTATATTTTGTATAATTTGTGTTTTGTTTGTTTGTTTGTTACTAGGGGAAAAATTGATGGTGAGATGGTTTTTTGGATATATGTTGGAGACGGTTTGGTGATTGGGGATGAGTTTGAGAAGGAGTTTGAGGAGGGGGAAGGGGAGGTTCATTTCGAGTCGAGTTTACTTAAGAGAGCTAAAATCTTAGGGTTATGATGGCGAGGTTGTGGATGCTTAAAAAGAGGAAGATGAGCTGAAAAGCAAGGAAAGCTTTGTTCAAGGAGTAGCTGTAGAGGAGTACCACGATTGAAATTCAGCTTGCGAAACTAATTGCTGTTGCTAGAGACCATTGATGTAAGAGGAAGCGTTAACACCCAAACATCCCCATAAGAAACTATCTACCGTTACCAGAGGCCGTCAAAATCCAAAATCTAACAGTCGCCAACAAAAGAAATCCCCCATATTTGCCTCAAAATCTTCGACCTGTGGAGTGACGCGACAGCAGCTTTCTGGGCCAGATCATACGTAGATCGAGTTCAATCCTCCCTTCTCAGTTCCCATTTCCGGCCAGACTAACAGTCGTTTCACTGACGGCTGCAGAAGAACTGCCAACACCATTAGCACCATGAGTAGAAGTACCGGCAACAACCGAACCACCAGCTGGAGCAGCTGGAGCAGCTCTAACGAGACCATGGATCTTTCTCAAATGGTCATTAACTTTATCAGGGCGACAAAGTCCCCTCCCATAACTTCGACGACATCCAACTATAGGACAGAGGTTCTTTCCATGAGTTGTTTGGCCGCGTTGATGAACGGATGTGATGTGTCGGAGACGGTCTCCTGGACGCTTGAAGTCTTGAGCGCAGGTCGGATAGGAGCAGGGATAACGACCGGTGATTGGATTGGCGGTAATGGCCGTTGCATTTGCGTTGCTCAAAGGTAAGGCTGTAGCCGTGGCGGGAAGATTTGTGATGGTGTGTTGATCATATGCAGGAACTGGTGTCGGTAGCGAATGATTATCGAGGAAATGATTGTTGGCTGAATTTTGTACGATGGTGCCAGGATCAAGATTATTGAAACACTGCTCGGTGAAGACCCTGGTTAGCAGCGAGGTAAAAAAAAAACTTACCCCGCCCTCCCCGTACCACATTGCAGGATACGGAGATTGGCTGAAAACTGGATAATCCACATGGTTGGTTGGAAGTCCCCCTCTAAAAGTGCACTGCCAAGACTGCTGGGTAGTAGGCGGTTGATAGATGCCAGTGAAGAATCCTTGATCCAAAGGAAGCTGCAGAGATTGGTCGAATGATGTAGGCTCCTGCCAGTTGACCATAAGATCTGCATCAAAGGTGGCAGAGTTGTCGATATTGTTAACACTGTTGTCACCAATGAAGAGCTCTTCGTTTGGGAACAATTTGCCAACTTGGTCAAAGGTAGGCATTTCGTCTGCGATAGAAAACTCTTGGGAAAGAGCTTGCATGTTTCTGACCGAAAAAGGGCGTAGAGGGCGATAGAGCGTGGAAGTTCAGCCAATAGACGAATGATAATTTAGCGATGTGTGAGAAAAGGGCGACCAATAAGAACCGTAGGTTGCAGAGCTGTGAAATGAGAGTGCCAAAAACTTGCGGAAAAACTGCGAAAAAGGAGCTGATGTGTATGGGGATGAGAGGAAGGTTATATGGTCAACATATTTTTACTGCGCAATAAGGAGTTGCGCCCTCTTTTGGGAACCCCATGTGAAAACTTCAGAATATTGAGATGAGGCTCTAGCGATTCAGTATTATCAGGAAGGCATAGTGCTACGTTGCTCCGCTCACCGCAACAAGACACTTGTCCTTTGACTGGGCGCTTGCTACGATCCATTGGATCATGGCGCATCTTCAGATAATGATGGTGATAATGAGTAAAAGTTGTTCTAAGAATCCCGGTTCCTCTCCGTCAGCGAAAAGGCAAGAGCGAACAACATTTTTTTAGTCTATCAACACTTATGCACGGGTTGCGGGATCCAAGATCACGAGACGGGATCCCGCGGCTTAGTCATCCTTCACTTATCCTTCGATTTTATTATGATTTAGGCCTATTATCATATCAATAAGTTCAGCCAATCCCGCCGGGATCAGGTGATATTTCACTTATTGATTAGATTTAAATATAAATTAGTATTAATCAATAATAAATGAATATAAAAAAAAATCTAAATATGTGAAATTATAGAGCTCGATTTAAGGATTCGAATAACATAATTTTTATTTAATTTGAATAAATACATCTTGAGTTATTAGTATATTTTCATTTAAATTTCAATAATTTTACTAATTTTGATATCAAAAACCTCAAATTTTTTTTGGGAGAGTAGTGATAATCGAGGGGGGCTAGGGCTAGGGGAATGATAATGGGAGAGTACTAGTGATAATTGAGAGGGGCTAGAGCTAGGGGAATGAGAGTAGTGATAAAGTGATAATCGAGGGGGCTAGGATGATATGATGACTAATCGAAAATCGACAACGAAATGAATGAAATTGACTGATATTTTGCTTCAAATTAATCGTAGAAAAATGTTTTTGATTGTGTTTGAACGCTAGAAATGAATTCTATAAGTCTATGAAAATTTTAGGTTTTCATATATCGAATTCATTGAACTGTACTAATTAATATATTTCTATTCAACTTATTGTTGTTGCGGGATCCCGTACCTAAAATTCCCCTACATTGCTCACTGACTCTAATGCTTTTCCTAGCATCTCTGTATATACTTGAATGACATCGAAAGCCATTCTATGTATTCCATACGGGAAACGCGGCCAATTCTCAGACGAGGTTAAGTCACTGCTGGTGTTGTGGCAGTGGCAATGGCAGATGATTTCCGAGTGGTGGCGATCTTTGGTGGCATTGTGATTGTATATCAAGATGAAGACTCTCAGTATTAAAGAAGCCGATGTTTGAGTTTGTAAAGGAGATGCAGATTCAGGGAGAGGAAGAAGAAGAGGCACTAGCCGACCCAGTTCAGTTACTGTCACGTGCAAACAGTCCGTCCACATGTCCACGAAAATATCGCGCACGTCCCTTATCGCCACCACAGTAGATCTGTATATAAATTTCTTCAAGACAAGTTTCTTCATCAAACGATACAAAACATCCGGCATGGTGTAGTGGCTAGCATTTCCGCCTCTCATTCATTCTATGGAAAGCGCGCGGGGGACCGGGGTTCAATTCCCCGTACCGGAATATTCTTTTTCCTTTTTTAGTTTTCTTAAATTTCTTTCTTTTTTTTTTGGCTTTAAAATGTATTATTATCTCATAGACAACACAAGCTTTGACTCCGGCCCCTCGGTGCCGGTAAAACAATTCGCCTCGCTGCACTCTTCGTATCGTTTTCAGAGCACCTCGATTCCTATATCGCAGCTCATTCTATCGGAGACCTATATTATTATATTCAATTTGATAATTATAAATATTGAATAATATTCTTGAATATCGTCTTTTCAGATTTCATTTTATCGATTAGTATAAGAAATATACTGATATTGAAGATTGAATATAATATTGTATAACG